AGAAGACAATTGCATTTCTTTACACCAATAATAAACAAACAGAAACCCAAATAAAAAGCACAATCTCATTCACAACAGCCACAAAAAAATGAAATACCTTGGCATCTTCCTAACCAGGGATGTGAAAGACCTTTACAATGAAAACTAAAAACACTACTCAAAGAAATACAAGATGACAGAAACAAGTGGAAAATTACCCCACGCTCATGGATTGGAAAAATCAACACTGTGAAGATGTCCATTTACCTAAGGCAATCTACAGATTTAATGCAATACCCATCAAATTACCAGTAACATTCTTCTCAGACCTAGAAAAAACAATACAGGATTTCATATGGAAACACAAACAACCAAGAATAGCCAGAACAATCCTTAGCAAAAGAAACAAAGCAGGTAGTATAACACATTACCAGACTTCAAACTTTACTATAAAGCTACAATAATGAAAACAGCTTGGTATTGGTGCAGGAAAGGGCATATAGACCAATGGAATAGAATTGAGATTCCAGAAGCAAAACCTCAATTTCTCAACCAACTCATCTTCGACAAAACCTCCACCACCCACCACTGGGGACAAGAGAACTTATTCAGTAAATGGTGCTGGGAAAACTGACTGACCACATGCAGAAGATTCAAACAAGATCCCTATCTAACCCCATACACAAAAATTTACTCCAAATGAATCAGAGACCTAAATGTAAAACCTCAAACCATAAGAACCTTAGAAAATGCAGGACACACCCTTATGGAAATTGGAACTGGCATTCAATTCCTGAACAAAACCTGAAACGCACGCGTCATAAGAGATAAGATAGACAAGTGGGACCTCATTAAACTGACAAGCTTCTGCAAAGCCAAAGAAACCATCAAGAGAGCATGAAGACAGCCCACAGACTGGGAAAAAGTATTTGCTAACTCCATGTCTGACAAAGGCCTAACATCTTGGATCTGCAAGGAACTCAAACGTGCTGAAAAGAAAAAAACAAACAACCCCATTACAAAGTGGGCAAAAGATATGAACAGACACTTCACAAAAGAAGACATA